CCCAAATTTTCATTAAAGTCTACCCAACGGTTAAAAAGTTAGAGCAATTTCATAGTGTGGCAATTTCATCGTGGACACCCTTTAGATTTATGATTTGTTGGGTTCGGATTGGGTACGGGTTTTAAGTGGAACCTACACGGTTGCTTTTATTGACAATAATCATATTGTCAATACATTCTATATTGACGTCAATACATCGGTATTGACAATATTTCTGTATTCACACCATCAATATCATTGTCAATAATTCCCATTCGCGTCAATATATTGATATCACTGAGATTATTATTCCATCAGATTTCATAGAAATATCGTATGGTTTTTTGCGATAAGATTTTATGTTGGATTTCATACGATCGGACTATGAAAAACTGTCAGATGTTTTCAACCAGCCATCGTATGATTTTACACGTATACAACTATGAATTTGAATACAAACGAATGATGGATATCATGGAATTTAACTATTGATTTCGCACGTCGTACATTTTTAATTTATTGGATATATTTACTCGTATTTCATTCAATTAACTTAATTTTTTAGAAAATTTCACGAGTTTTCTATACTGATGCAATCGGTGTAGAATCGACTATGCTGGTGCAACAACTTGAAAGAAGTTCGAAGGATCCAACAAACTTCTTGTTCCGTTAGCGTTCGACTTTGATGTAATTGGGGAAGCTATTCGGTCAGTCGGTGCAGCTATGTGCGATGGAAGCGGAAGAACCAGAAGCTAATCTGCAAATGTAAAACTATAGAATTAAAATCATAAATAACTTAAATTTTATTAATCTTACAGGTTTACGAAGCCTTATACAATGTCACGAAACTGCATCCGCCATCTTTGTTGTTCTTGTTGTGATTTGAACTAACCTACTACCTTTCATACGATCGTCTAATGACGTTTCATAAGAAGGGTTTATGGAATTCAAATATTTTTCGTGTACCTTTTGTTGTACCGATCTATAAATGCTATAGATGGAGTATGAATTCATACGAATGGAAGTATGAAATTGGATAGAGCGCATATTTGTATGTGTTCATACGATGCAGCTTATGAAAATAGAAGGGATAGTTTCATCAGTGTACGTATGGGGTTCGCGTTAGAAAATTTAATCGATCGGGTACGGGTAAAATAATTTTCAATTTATCGGGTTCGGGTCGGGAACGGGTAATGGTATGTATTTTGAAGTCGGGTTCGGGTATTGAAATTTCCATATCCTACCATCTCTATCGTATATACCTTCCTCTCTGTGTTTTGATTCTCTGATGCCAAGCACAACTCTACAGTGAACATGCATAAGGGCGTAAACGCGATGATCGTTTCTTTTCTTCGATTTTCTCTTTTGTTAATAACTCGCAAACAAATTCTAGAAAATTGTTTCGCGTAGCTGTAGCAATGCAAAGAGAAACCCGATGAAAAGAATCGATCATCGCGTATACGCCCTTATGCATACTCACTGTCGAATTATACTCTATTGCACAGAAATGCCGAGAAATATTTCAGGCTACAGCTTCTTTTACTCCTGAACGTCTATTGCAAATGGACCGAAAAAGATCTCAACGGTTCAATACGACTTCGGCCTTCTCCGTTCCTGAGATCTTGATAAGCGGTAATGCGATGCAAGTTCTCTGTACACAATGCTTGAATTTATTTAGAAAACAATAATTTCTGTATAACACATCTGAAACTTATATAAGTATCTTCATCTAATCTCAACTGAACGTAGCAATAACATTTTAATAACTGTTGGTAGGCTTGTGAATGAAGATTGAGCATTTCTAGCTCAAATCGTTAAAAAAAATGTCAATTTTGTCTCGACCCCTTCTGATTTGAATGAAACATTGCTCACGTGTTCGCTGCTACTAATGGTTGCATTTTTCATTTAAATATGATTTTTTCCTCCAGAGTAACTTTTGAAAAGGGCGTATAAAAAAATTGATTATTTTTTTTTCCAAAAAATCATAACTTGAAAACTATTGATCTGATCAAAACGGCATATGGCAAGAAGTTTTAGGTAATTAAATTATCTTTGCGGAAAAAATACACTGAAAGAAAAAACTTCGTAAATTAGTATTTAAAAAACGTAAAACGATGATTATCTCAAAACACCCCCCCTTCGATCTTTATAATTTTTTTTTTCAAAAAAAATGATGGAATATTCTTAAATTTCGTGAAAAGTGTATGCTGGTAACTTTCTTTAAAAGAAAGCTATAATTTTTTAAATTTTTATTGATTTTTACAAGTTGATGAAAATGCATATTTTTTATAAAATAATAATTTATTTGGATTCTACGCATAATTTTCGATAACTTTGCATATAGAAACTTTTTTCTTAAGTCCAGCCGTTCTCAAGTTAATGCGAATTAAAAAAATATAATTATAACAATTTTCAACATATTAGGCCATTTTCAAATGTTCGTCGAGATGTCCAGCAACGAGATTTTATTTCATGATTGTATATTAAAAACCAAACAATTCATTCTCAGATATGGTAGCTGTCAGACTTACCCGTTTCTATCTAGAGGCAGCGGAAGAGAAGCACGTTGATGTGGTCAAATGAAAGATTTGTTGAGATAAGAAACAGTATATATTTATTATTTTATTTTACAACTCATATTATTTGAATACATTGAATAATTTGGGTGTATCGTTTGAATTAGAGAATATTTTTACTGCAATTTGGTTGTTTGAAACTGGAATATAGCAATGATATTTTCGAGTTCCAGGAATTGGTTTCACTTTCTTAAAAATTGGATCAAATTCCGTGTCAGCCTTTTTGTATTCTTCCGTAGAAACATAACAAAATGACATTTTTGTTTGAAGATCTTCTTTACGACTATTTGCCCAGTCGTACAGTTGTTTAGGGTTCGTTATAGGGTGCTCGTGTTGCTTAGCTAAACTTGCTCTGGTTGCCATTCTCTTAAGGGTACCGCCAATCGCATCACAAGGACCTTTGCCGTGTGAAGTTGCAAAAAAATGCCATTCCATTTCTACATTATGCTTATCTTTAAATCCACAAAGGCTAGCAATTTTTTTTATGTTTTTGTATTGTGATGCTGCTCTATCTAACATAAAAATACACTTTTGGACTGTTATTTGCGACTTTAAAAATTCTAATAATTTTGAGATAAACAAATGAACTGCTACTGTGTCATGCTTTGAAATTGATTTAGGTAGAGGTTTACAACACTTGAAATTGTTATCCATCGAAAAAAAAACTACTTGCTTTTTAACTTGAAACGCTAAGAGAGATGAACTGAATGGAACAGGTGAAGAACTTGACTTAAATGATCTTTATTTCTTGTATTGTGTGGTTTACATGTATACCTTATCAAGTGACACAGATGCGTCTTTTCAGCTTTAGTTCCTTTTCAATTAAAATTATTATTAATTACAGTTCCTAGTCCTATCAGGCCTGTTTTAAGAATGACCACCTTGGTGGGATTGGTTTGTTTAAAATTTGAAAAAAGGAGACTACTTATAACTACTATTTACAACTACAACTAACCTACAACTACTATATACACCTAATATACTATATACAAAGCATGTTCTGATAAAATACATTTTTGTGCAAATTTAGTCTTAATTTCGTTAATTCGGGAATCTATTTTGGCAATGCCTGCCTCTTCATGTAAATTTGTTATTCTAGTGTCGAAAGGACGATCAAGAACCATCCTCAGCACTCTATTCTGAGTGATTTGGATTTTGTTCCTGTGAGTCTGTGCACATGATTCCCACAGGGGAGCTGCATAGAGGATCGCAGGTGCTATGATTTGTTTGTAGACAGCCAGTTTGTTCACCCTTGAGAGGCGGGATCTGCGGCAAATCAGCGGATACAGAACAGGTGAAAAACGTCCCAATAAATATATATACATATATAGCAGAATAATTACAATGTTGACATTATACCTATCTGCATTAGGTACAATTGATTATAGCAAACTTTTTTAAGTGTGAGTGTAAGAAGCCTCCACGGGGTGCCTTTTTATGTAGTTGTGATATCGCGGGATGAGCTCTTAAGGCACAATATGGTATACGTCAGAGAAGTACCTAGAGAATTTATCTCAATTACAGGTTTAATAACATATTTGTTTACCTGTTTATGTTTTGAGTCTCTGTTATGACATACACAATTCCATCCAGGTATACAACTAATAGAGGACAGAAAAAAGGCACATGAGTGGGTTTGTTGATTATTTGGGTATATTTGAGAGTATTTACTTATAAACTTGTTTCTTTTCTGCTGCGTCTAAATAGAAACGGGTAAGTCTGACAGCTACCATATTTGAGAATGAATTGTTTGTTTTTTAATATTTATTCATGGAAAAACATCTCGTTGCTGGACATCACGACTAACATTTGAAAATGGCCCAAAATGTAGAAAATTATTATAATTTTTTTTTAAATTGCATTAACTTGAGAACGGCTGGACTTAGGAAAAAAGTTTGTAGATGCAAAGTTATCGGAAATTATGCGTAGAATCCAAATAAATTACTATTTTACTAAAAAATATGCAATTTAACCAACTTGTAAAAACCAACAAAAATTTCAAAAATTATAATTTATTTTTTAAGAAAGTTACCAGTATACACTCTTCACCAAATATTAGGGCATTTTTTCAGTTTTCTTGAAACAAAAAAATTATAAAGATCGAAGGGGGGGTGTTTTGAGATAGTCATCGTTTTACGTTTTTTAAATACTAATTTACGAAGTTTTTTCTTTCAATGTATTTTTTCCGCAAAGATAATTTAACTACCTAAAACTTCTTCTCATATGCCATTTTGATCAGATCAATAGTATTCAAGTTATGATTTTTTGAAAAAAAAATAATCCATTTTTTATACGCTCTTTTCAAAAGTTACTCTGGAGGAAAAAATCATATTTAAATGAAAAATGCAACCATTAGTAGCAGCGAACACGTGAGAAATGTTTCATTCAAATCGGAAACACTCATGACCAACCGGTTTGCGTTTTGGGCTGGAAATGCTCTATTGCTATGTTCAGACAGGTTCAGACTAGACAACTTTTTGTACTGAAGCACCCCCGCGAAATCAGCGACAGATATCACCATCATCGAATCATTTGCTGTTTCATCATCAGATTGACATCCACGTAACCCGACGAACCACTTGAACGATTCTCGCTGCCGGGGAGATCCTGTTTCGCCTGATCCTTTATGGAAAGCATCTGTAAAGGCTGGACATAGTCAGTGCCTGTCACTATCTGAACGGTCGCTTTTTGCTTCTCCAAAAGCTCCGACAGGCATGAATGTTTGTCATGTACGGTTTCATCGGGTTTTTTAAGTATCGATTTTACTTTTACCGATTGAACTGCGTCATCCAGATCGAACGGAGCTAGTGGCATAAGTTTGTCATTTTCCAATGATTCGCTAAACAATACCGTTGACTCGATCTCGTCGCCAGCGTAAATTCTTTGAGAAGAATCCATCTACAAGTAAACTACAGCTTTAGGAAGATTACAGAGGTGAAAAACGAAATCAAAAAAATACCGGCATTTCGTCGATTCCAAGTAAACCCAGTGGAATATCGAATTTGATGTTCATCATCTTTTTTACCCTACGTGTAGCTGTAGTTGTCATGATAGCCATCGCCAGTATTCCGAACAGCAGGAACATGATCAACTGCAGAAGAATGTCTGAAATAGATATACGACTAATTAGAAAGCGATCTCCAACACAATCGAGTTATTATTCTCACCTCTTTCGCTGGTACGAACTGAGTAACTGTCTGTGTGTGGAATACCATGTTCATCAAATGCCGTTACGTTCACCATATACTCAGTATCCTTCATCAGATCGTCGATCTTAATGACCAAATCGTACGGACGTTTAGTCATATTCTTCTCCAAACTTTTATCCATTTTGGGCCAATACCGAACCTCGTATCGCTCAACCAGTGACTGATCCGTGCAGGAAAGTGATATCCTCAAAGTTACGGAATGCTCCGTTACATCAGTGAGATTGAAGGTCAGTCGACTTATGTTACTGGGTGTTGGAACGATGCACTGCATCCAAGAAAGCTCCGATGAGTAGGATCGGTAGTTGGCCGCAAGGGCAAAGTTCAGTGGTTTGGTGGAATTAATGCTATAAGAAGTTGCATTCGGTGGCAAAGTGACAATGTGAATCGAATTCTGACAGGAGCCCGTTGCACTGAAAATGCAATGCATTACTGTATAATTGGAGAGGTGCTCCGGTTCACCACCTGAGAACCACTGCAAGTGATAGCTATCGTTGAATAAGATTCTCTTAATTTTAGGATCATATGATACTTTTGGAGGATATATGGGGATAAGGCTGACATTTTCGGATCGACCTTCGTGATTGTACGATGATAAATGGACTGTGTAGCGTTCATTGGCCTTTATATTTTGGAAAGTGGCTACTCCGTTCGGATTAACTGGATGGGATGCGTTGAATCTTTGACCAGATTCCGAAACAGCAAACACGTCGTAGCCAAATCCGGGACCATTGTGAAGGTATTCCGGAACGAGCTCCCAGTAAACTTCAACGGTAGCTAGCTTATTACTCCTTTCCTTGAACCTATAGGTTCCTGGCGCCGTCCGCGGTGCCTGATAAGGCCTGCATGCTTTGGTACGGATCCGAACCGAAGACCCATCAGACCAATATTCATCTTCATAATTCCGAACCGATTTAGGGACAACGCGAGCCCGTATCTTCAACTCGTAGCTCGTAAATGCATGCAAGTCGTTGAACTGATGCACCATGGGGACTCCCTTTTCGAAAGTCATATTCTTGAAACTGGTGTTATTTCCGTACTTTGAAATCATCAGGAACTCAAACTCGATTTCTCGATCCAGATTTAGCAACATTATGCTCAGATCCCAAGTAGCCTGTATGCTGGTACTGTTTACAAAAGGCACCTGTAAACTCGTTGGTGCAGAAGGCCTTACAATATCGTAATGGTTCACAATAATCGTCGTTTCGGTTTTTCCTACAATGTTTTCACTGTCAACAAGGAAAGAGATATTCTTGTGCCCCGCTGAGAACATGCACGTCTCCGATCTGCTATCAAAGCTCAGCATAGAAACGTTATCGTTAAGCTCACAATCGTTCAATAAACCCAGTCTGTTCATGGAAAGTTTGTAATTCGTCGGGAAACGACAGCTATTTTGACGCTTAAATTCGCAAGTCAAAAATTTCCGGTTGTGAGAAATGCACTTGAAATCGCTCGGTTTGATCGCCGGAGGAGGTCTCGCAACGGGAATGGTCTTCATGCCTATGAAGGTACGATTAAGCCGGCAGACGTATTCCTTATTACCGCAAATGGTCGATTCATCGCTGACCCGGAGATCCACTTTATGTGCAATGGTTGTATCGCTGATTACCTGGAAGAGAAATCGGCAGCTGTTAGATATCAATGTTCTTTTTTTTTTTTCGTCAAGCAAAAGTAGACTACATACAATGGTTACAATGATTTACTTACATGCTATGCATTAGTTCTATTATGTTTTAGTCGGGTTTTAGTTTGTTCTTTTGACATAGTGATTTCGTAGTGTAGATTATACTGTCGCATCATTTGATTGATGGGGTCAATTCCTGCGTAATTTGTTCTGTGTGATTTTTCTGAGAATAATTTCCGTGTCGTAAGATGCCGACAGTACAAAAACGAGATCAGATTTAGTTCCATGCGAAAAATCTTTTTCTATCTAGCACACATGGATGTATTTTCGTACGAAAGTGTACCATAAGTGCTTCTGAACGTGTTTCGCAGTTGGGTGTGGTGAAATTCGTGCATTCCCGTTTGATTTTGGAAATCCGTATCACAAAATTGCTCACCGATTCCTTTTTTTGCCGTTCGACGACGACGGGTGTGCTTTCGCAAGAGTGACGTTTATGGATCCGTTTCTTTGCAAGGGTGGTGGCCGTGAACGGTTCCTGGGGAAAACACTAGATGCGAACCTCCTCCCAGATCACCATGGCAATACATGATGTATTACAAAAAAGGTAATTGCTATTAGATATTTTGCAAACAGTGACAGATAGCGGACGTGAAGAACCAGTGGAGGTGCCGGGCAAAGATGTTTATCCTAGACAAATGGTAAGTTACAAATTCTCTGTTGTCGTTGTCGTAGGCGCCGCACACTGGGGCAGATCAGTGATTTTCTCGGAAAAAATTAATAACTTTTGAACAAAGCATCCAATCAGAATACTGTCTTCGGTAAAGTTGTTTGTATTAGTTAAGCGCTTCTTCTGAATAAATTAATTAGTTCGCAACTTGGTCGTAGAGATGGCGCGCTAATCTAACTTTTGAATAAAGCATCCTAGACGTATGGTGTTTTCAACAAAGTTTTTATCTATTAAAATAAAGGAAAGTTGCGCAAGACATAAAACTTCCATAACCTTTAGTTTCGGAGATATAAGGTATATTGAAAAATATGATGCCAAAATTCTTATTTGTTAACGTTTTGTATATTTTCATACGTTTTCTCTGGTTTCTGCATTTATTCCAACGAAAACAAACTAGGTGCAAATTTTCATTGCACTTTTTGTGGAATTTATAGTGGTTTTAGTGAAATATTCTCGAAAAACATGATATTTTGCCTGTATTTTAGGTGGGTGGGATTCTCGTAGGGGCAGCTAAGGGCAGCTGGACTTTGTCTCTTTTGCTAGCTCATGTCATTGTCTAACATATACCAGAAAACTAAAGACATGATATTCGATGATTTTTTTTAATTTCACCTTTTGTAAACCGTTACAAGGATCTCTACTAATAAGGAAACCTGTCAGTTATGTATAATTTTTATTCGTTAAACTTTTTAAATTGCAGATGCAGTAATGGTTTGAAGATTAAACTATCTCTTAAGTTAAAGTATTTAGAAATCAGTTGTCCTTAATTGTCACTAGCGTCAAATGAATCCGGTGGTTGTAATAATGCCAATACCTCGCTATTTATTTTTATTAATTGGGCTGAATTTTTTTTCGGTCTTTTTCGCAGACTTGTAATTAATGGATCTGGTTGAAAAAATAGTTTGATGTGCTTGTGTGATCTATTATCTTTACTAAAATTAATTTTCAGACACCACTAAACGAAATGCATGTTGAGCATATGGCATAGAATAAACAACTGTTGAAAATTTACATTGAAGTTGAATCCATTATAGCAACTTTGTGGATTATTGCGCAACACCGGAAATTGATCACTGAACTGAGACGAGAACAAAATTCACGCTTATGGATACCAACTACTGAAACATTGACGCACATTAATAATTCTCGATTACTTTTTCGAAGAGATGTATCAGCTTTGTAAACAATACATTTGATCGTCGGTTTGACGTAACTGCTAGCTCGCTCACGTATACTATAACACTACCATCAGATAGGAGAAATTTCCTCCTGCATGATAGTGGTGTTAGTATGCGTGGATGAGCTACCAGTTACACCAAACCGACGATCAAATGCATTGTTTACAAAAGCTGATACGTCTCTTCGAAAAAGTAATCGATAATTGTACGTTGTACACGATCGCGTTGGCACGGCAGCACACAGCTTGTAGGATGATGTCACATATACAACTTTACCTGGGTAATGCAGCTGATTGAGCTGACGTATACATGGTGGAAAGGGACGGATAATCGTGTAGTAAGCAGAGAGTCAAAAGCAGATGATATCATCAAAAACATGGCCACCAGCCAGGCCCCTGGTTCGCTGGCAGCTCATAATAAGTAAACAATCTCAAAATTCAGCACAGCATTTAAAAATGGTGACATGTCAAAAATTTATATAATGTTTTCCATTTTGTGAAACAGTTCATTTCAATGTAAAGGTTGTTTTTATCGGTATATATAAAGTGAAATTTAAAAAAATCATCGAATATCATGTCTTCAGTTTTCTGGTATATGTTAGACGATGACATGAGCTAACAAAAGAGACAAAGTCCAGCTGCCCTTAGCTGCCCTTTCGAGAATCCCACCCACCTAAAATACAGGCAAAATATCATGTTTTTCGAAGATATTTCACTAAAACCACTATAAATTCCACAAATAGTTCAATGAAAATTCGCACCTAGTTTGGAATAAATGCAGAAACCAGAGCAAACATATGAAAATATACAAAAAAGTTAACAATAACATCATATTTTCCAATATACCCTATATCTCCGAAACTAAAGGTTATGGAAGTTTTATATCTTCTGCAACTTTCCTTTATTTTAATAGATAAAAAACTTTGTTGAAAACACCATACGTCTAGGATGCTTTATTCAAAAGTTAGATTCGCGCGCCATCTCTACGACCAAGTTGCGAACTAATTAATGTATTCAGAAGAAGCGCTTAACTAATACAAACAACTTTACCGAAGACAGTATTCTGATTGGATGCTTTGTTCAAAAGTTATTAATTTTTTCCGAGAAAATCACTGATCTGCCCCAGTGTGCGCCGTCGTAGTCGCTGTCGTAATCGCCATCGTAGTCGTAGGCAGTACCGTTAGTATGTTTAAAATTAAACATCAACCGCTGAAAATATGAATTATCGCGTATTTCTGTTGTTCATTACATTCCAAATGAAATTCGAGAACGTAATTTCATTTGAATAGCTTGCTTAACCAGGTCTTAAACAATCGTCACGTCGGTCATAGCTTGTTATGATTGTCTGAACCATGCGTAAAGAGAAAATCGAAACATTGAACGTCGCGTGAAAGTGGATCTTAATGAAGGCCTAAGTACTCTTTGTAGCTTTTAGTTTTAGGAATTTAAAGATCGTCGGTTGCAGTGGCTTGCTTACTGAGGAGGAAAACGCGGTCCCAGATCCTTTCATATTAAAAATGCATGGTAAGATCGCTTGTTTATCGTGTATTTTGTAAAACTTTTCGTTGTCGTCGGTGCCGGGTTTGAATAGTTATAAAAACTTGAGTAACGCTATAATGTGATATGAGGGGCTCGGTGGCCTTAGAGCAACCGTTTTTGCTTACTGAGCAGAACATCATGAGTCTAATCTCAAGCCCATCCACATTCAAGATTCGTCAATGATTAAAAAGGAGCTCGTCTGCCTAGTGGCAAACGTTTTTTCTTACTGAGCAGAAGACCGTGGGTTCAATCCCAAGCTCCTTCGCGTTATACGATCGTTAGGACATCAATTTAGCTTATCGTTTACCAAAACGAACCCTGCTGCTAACCCAACTCTCTTACCTAACATCCCTGTGATTTCTCGTGGAAGTGCAGAGGCAGGCATACCAAAAGTACCGCCTCATGACAGTATTCCAACGGCTGTCGCTTTCTTTTCCCTACGACAGCCTTGAGATTGAGCTATAAGCGACAGCCCACAGTGAGGCTGTTATACGACATGCAACGTTGCCGTCTTGTGCTGTTCACGACAGCTTGTTCTTAGTCATGTATTTTGTTCGTTCGGCTATGACAGCCTCGGATGGTCATTCGTAACTTTCCTCGTACATACAACAAGCAGTCCGTCAAACTGCCGATTCGTTGCTGCTGTCTTTTGAAATTTTGTTTGTGTGTCGTAAGACTGCTACTACACTACCAGTGTGGCGCAGGAGCTCGTTCGGTTGCTATCACGTTCGTGCTGCCCATTGCAAAATTTTCATCCGATATTTTTTTTTTAAACGCACGGTCTCCGGCGAAAAATATAAGCCTACCCGACACCAACCTGACTTCTACCAAACCCCAACCCGATGTTGGCCCGACATTGACCCGACATAAACACAGAATTGACCCGACATCGACCCGACATTTGGCCGATGTCGACCATAAATTGACCTTACATTGATCCGACATCGGGTCGACATATCTGTTCGGGATCATTCTTCTGGGTTTCTTCCATACTCCACTGCCGTATATCAATTGTATATATTATCGTCCCACACGCGCCAATTGAATTTACTCTCGTTCTGTACGTTAAACATAACGTCGGACATAGTGCGCTGTATTCACACAATGATGCGCTATTCAGCGCACTATGTCCGACGTTATGTTTAACGTACAGAACGAGGGTAAAATCGAATGTCGCGTGTGGGATTTTCCAATGTCCAACTTGAACGAGAATAATGTCTCGTGACAGCCTTTTCGTGACAGCCACTTGGGTAAGCTGAGGGATGTCGTCGGTTTGTGAAGGCTGTTATGACGACAGAAACATTGAGAACCTGGTCATAAAGAAATGCATAAATACAGCCCATTCGGTTCACTACGTTCCAAGCACGATGATTTTAGCAAAGCGGGTATAGATGCGACTGTTCTAATACAGCTTTCATTCGTTCGTGTGTGCGCTGTTACCAATACACTTCGAATTCAGATCTGAACGTACGGTAGCAAGCGGTAGTAAAGCACACAAAGCAACAGTCAATTCAGGTATAAACCAACTGTCGCGAGGAGGCT